GTCCATAGACTTTCTACAGAGACCCTAAAGCGTGCCGTGACTTTTCTGGAGGCTCATTGAGATGAATGGGAGAAAGTCACGTGAGAGGAGGCAATGCCTCCGTTGCGCTATAATTGGATATGATCGGTTATGATTGGATGTGATTGGTTCGTGTGATAAATCCCGCCATTTGTTTACATGCGAGCTCTCGGCCTGAATGAAGAAAATGATGGCGTTATTGACTAATTATAAAGTAAACAACTCATCTGCTTAGATATCACTGCTTTGTGTCAGATCAAAATGAAACATGAAATTACTTGAAAACATGATGACTGTGTCAGTTTTTAGTGAGCATTCAGCTTGATGAAATGAAATATGTACCTTCGTGCCTGTGACAAAGTTTACAGGGCTTTTATGACGATGACCCGTAAATAAGTTGACTATTAAAAAGAACAGCTGAACATCAGTTCACAATATATATATATATATATATATATATATATATATATATATATTCCCCTTTAAATTACATAAAAATCACAAATGGCCCTTGTCATAAATAGCAGAATTAACAAAGGCAATTACCTTAATGTCTCTAATCATATTGCCAGACTTTCTGAAAAAAAAAAAAAAAGATCCAGATAATATCGGCAAAACCAAGTTGCTTGGTAAAACCAATTAAAACAATAATAATGCCACAACTATTTATCTCTGATGTATTGAAGCAGCCAGTTGCCCAGTCAAAAAGCATTAGAGTCTAAATGAGAAAGAGAGAATATTAACTCTTCAAAGGGGCAGATTGAAACTTTCCAATAAATCAGCCAAAGAATGAAAAAAGTAATCAATGAAGGACTGTGTAAATGTGACCATGTTCCATCAGTTCACCTTGAACCTTTCGCTTTAATTAAACTATCAAAGCAGGCTTGTAGGAGACTTTTCCCTTGGCCAAAGAAATGTTATCTTTACTAGTTAATGATAAAAACAAACAAACAAAAAACCATGCAAGATTAACTACCAGACAAACGGAGGAAAGGGGGAGCTTTTGTGACGTGACGTGACATGTGGCCAAGTATGGTGACCCATACTCGGAATTAGTGCTCTGGGACTCCAACCCCAACCTTTGCGTTACGAGTCCGACTCTCTAACCATTAGGCCACGACTTCCCCGACTTTGTGCCATTCATCTGTCTGTTTTAAGTACAATTTTCATTTTCTTTTTTTGGTTACGAGATAAACCCTTTGTTTGTTTACCTGGGGTTCCACAGATCTCCACAGTCAATGTGCGTTCAGTGGTTTTGTTCTCAAACGGAGATCCCTTGTGGTCACTGTAACACACACACAAACAAAAAATAAGAACAGGGATGGAGTGCTGAAAGTGTTTGTGTGAGCTTACAAATGGAAATGAAATTAACAAAATGCCTCATCGTTGGTGTTTTTTTGTTGGTTTTTTTAGTTCAGATTTTGTCTGCTCTACAAAAGTTGTGTAAAAACCTCAGCCAAGCCGCCCGCCTCAAGGCAATGACCACAGCTGCCTGCATGACCCGTCTCTCTAGGCGGGAGAGAGTAAGAGTGCATATACCTAATAAAGCGGGCAGCGGCCAAGCTGCCTGGGTCAACACCTGGCTGCAGGCCTGGCGGCCTTCCCTCTTCGCCGGAGCAGGCATGGTCACAGCCGCCTCCGTGGGACAGCACAACGGGGGCGGAGTGCTCCCCTTGAGTACACCGCCGCCACTTCCCCGCCCCCTCACCAGCCACACTGCATGTGCCGGCTGCCTGGCTCTCACCTCGCTGGGCCTGCACTGCCAGCTGCTGCTGCTGCTGCTGTGATGATGGGGAGGCAGAGGACGTCTTCTTTTTGGAGGCGGTGGAAGAGGAGCAGGACGACAGGGAGGAGAAAGAGGAGGTGGACGAGGACGATGGAGAGGAAGAAGATGAGCAGAAGGACGTGCAAGCCCCTCCCCTGTCCTTGCCGCAACCTGTCCAGGTGCTCTTGGCTTCCCTGGCTTTGGTCTGGAAGGCCTCGTCGCTAGAGGTGAGGTACTTGAGCAGCTCAGTGCAAGGGCGTCTCACAGACCGGTTGGGACAGGCCCCTCGTGGTTTGCTGTTCCAGGGGTTTTCGGTCTAAAGAACAGAAATCAGAGAGAGAAAGGGGGCAGAATGAGCATGGGATGTAACAGGGGACAGTGGTAACATAGGGAGATTAGAACAGGGGGTTAGCACAGAGGTGGTTTAGTCTCCCAAAAGGCAACGTGAGTGTGCTTTGCCCATCATCTTAATTACAAGGTCTTGGAACAGCTCCAGGAAGATCTGCACGCAGGCAGCAGGAGGAGACGGCGGTGTCCTCTGGGACCCTGCCATGTGCAGAGCTCCAGAAACAGAGGAGTCAAAGTCATTATGGAAAATTAACTCCTCAAAGAGAGTTGCGCATGTGCATGAGCATGTTTGTGTGGAGGGGAGGGGAGAGAATTATGCATGATGTTCACCTCAAATAACTACAAATTTTTCTTCTAGTTTACAACATGACTGGGCCTGTGGCAATAAATCATTGTTTTTGTGACAGTGAGACCAACATTGCTAATTCTATCAAGACATCTTAGCGTTTTCTTTTTTCATGGAAATGAGAAGGTGCCATTCAGAAGTCCTGAACGTCATCAAGGGTAACGTAACTTTAGATGAGACAGCCACAACACCTCCATCACACACACAACTTAATCATGCTTTAGCTCCCTGGAGGGAGCAGACTATTTGTATAATTTATCAGAAAGGAAAAATTACATGGAACTAGCAGATGAGCTCACACACCAGGACTTTGATGCAAGAATTGCAGCGAGCAGCTACCTTGGCAATAGCAGGTGTTGGTCTGATCCGTTGGTTGCTGGCTGCATGGTTCTGTGCCTTGCCACCTGGGTATTGATTATAGCTGAGCTGGGAGTTAGCAGGCGCCAGGAGGAGCTTCTTCAGCTACAAACAGAGCAGAGAAACACATCAGGGATTACAGCTATGAATTTAAAACAAAATGCAAAGATCTCCAAACAATACTTACATTTACATTGCATTTATGCATTTGGCAGATGCTTTATTCAAAGTGACTTACATTGCATCCAAGGTATACAGTTTATCAGTTCATGCATTTTCTGGGAATCAAACCCATGACCTTGGCAGGCTATGAATCAGATATATCAGACTATTAGTGTGGCAGCATGTCAAGCAGAGAAGGTGCAATGCTTTTTCTGTGATGCTCAGAATTTTACTGAGTTTATGGAGCCCGGTCTGAACATTAAAGTGCTAATATTCATAAAATAAATGCAAGGTGGATTTCAATTAGTTTGCTGTTTACTGCTGGTTTATTAAAGAAAATGCAAATTAAAATAGTCTACTTGATTAAAACGAATTCTTTCAGCAGATTTCCCATTGCTTCAGCTTGACAGTGTTGTGCCTGTTCCTTTCTGCAGTACTGAACACTGCAATGAACTCCTCGGGAACACTGATCTATTAAGATTTGCTGTTTCAAGAGCACTGTGGCTATGTTTTGTGCGCAGACATCAATAAGAGACTGCCAGAGCTGCTGTCTGGCGAGTATGTACCCATTTTTGGTGATAGGCCTGCAGCATCCCCTTATCTGGTGTTAGTGAAGACCAGACAGAGGGAGCAAAGTGAAACACAGTGGGAACAAGAAAGAGCGAGGGAAGGAAACAAAATGAGAGGGCCATGCTTCATGGTGAAATAGGATTAGGCACAAGGGACGCACGGACGGGGAGGGTCTCTTACCAGGGAAGGCTCCTCTGGCTCTGGGGTGCGTGGCGAGCCGTCTGGGGTGGAAGGACAGCTCTGATCACTGGCATTGGTCACGTCCCCATCTGCCAGGGCCTCGAACGAAGGCAACCCGTCTTCGTCCACTGGGATACTGTCCAGGGTTTCTGTGAGCACTGCCAGCAAGTTGGCCTCATTTTCCTCATCTATCTTCTTAAGGGGTGAAAAGAAACGGGGATAGAGAAAGAACAGTGGAAGAAAATAGGACATTTTAGTTTGGAGTAGTAGTAGATTTTGTCTGTTTTCAGGCTGGGTGGAGCAGTGCTCCATAATCGCTAATAGAGGATGGATTTTTTTATTTTTTTGCAGCATACGCTTTTTTTTTTATTACAAATTCTCTTTCAACTACAAATTGCCTAAGCCACATGAGTCAGCACTGTCAGTCATACATTAAACATGCAGCTTACTGGACCAAAATAATATCTCCCCTAAGAAACCCATTAACTTAGCTGACACACAGCAACTACCCAGGGAAGTAGCGACAAAGAGGTAAGAAACAATAAGAGGGAAGTTAAGTTCTTCCAATCCCTAACTCAGATGTCTCAAATGGCTCATCGACCAAATTTAAGCTGGAAATCCATAGATAAGGAGCCTTATTGTAAACTGAAATAGATGCATTTTTTGCATATGAAGTGTGATTGCAGAATCAAATGCTAAACGCTAAACTCTTTGATGTTCCCGTCTCTGTCTCTTCTGCAGATGGTAACGCAGTAGGGGCAGTATCTATGGAGCGGTGGCTGTGGAAAAGTCGCAGGCACTGGAAGTTCCAGCACCAAAACCTACGGGATTTAGCAATTGCAGAAGATAAACAACAAAATTGCTGGGGGACGTGGTGCATGCAGGCCAACAAGAACAAATCCTTTTATGCACACCACAGGATTAGTATCGCTTGCTGATAGCATTCGGGCACGATCGTGGTGGCTGCAGGGGGACTGTCCTCTTTAGATAGAAGTGTTGCATTGCTTAGCCTCCGGTCCCATGTGTAACGATCACCCCGATTGATTCCTTTTCTATTAATAGTTTCTCTCGATTACACACCATCATGTTCATATGCTCACGGGAGCTGCTTTTCAGACATCAAAACAAGGCCATTTTACTTATCTCACTCCATTTAAGAGATTTAAGTACTGATAGTGCTAACGTTTGATTAGCCACTGACAGGGAGGAAAATGCTAAGCCCGGCTTCACTGAGTTCATAATGACCTCCTTGGGACATGTTTCCTAATTTGCAGTGACACCTAAGTTCTGACGTAAAGCGGCTAGAAAGAAATCATAGCCTGTGACTTAACCTGCTGTTTAATTGTTGGCTAATAATGCCCTTTCTATGAGCTGTGCTTTTGCTGTTTCCCCCCTCAATTTGTCTTCTGCAACTTCATAAAAACCCAGGCAGCCACTAAAACAGAGGGCAATAACAATAAGCATTTCCTTCAAGCTAATTATAATCTTGGTTATTTAGGATGACTTCCCGTAGATGCTCATCATTTGATTTATAGAGGAAAGCTTTTATTCATTTGGTGATTTTTCTTTTTTTTTCACAGTATCAGCATGCACCCAATAAGGACTAACGGTTAGTAAAACTACTCGTTACAAGTGTGAACTCACAGTCAGACTTTATCTAGCATGACAGAAGGTACTCCAGGGTTTATACAGCAATCAAAGGTTCTGCCAAAAATGGCACTCCTCTTTCAACATTGGTTATCTCTCGGTATTCTACTAAACAAACCCAATAACCTTTGTCCTCCATTCAGGCACACAATTCAGAGTGTAACCAACACTAGCACAGTACATCCAGCCCAGTGCCAGAGTGGCTGGATTTTCCAGGCAAACTTTGGAGCTATGTCCGCAGCCATCGATTGCCTGAAATGGTCTGAGTAAGAAGGGAAGAAAAATAGATAGGACCTTTCCCATTCCACTTAATGGACCCCACCGAATTAAACAGATCTTAACAATCGTGGGCTAATTGTGGGATCACAATATATTAACCTGGTCTAATTCTAAAGGGTGCCATTCATGGCTGTTTTACCACAAATGCTTAAATTAGCCATAAAACACACTGGCAAGCGCTCGGCAGTCACACTCCATCTAGCTCCCCTCCCTCCCCCAGTACTTCAGAGGCGCGCCAGCATTCACCAGTCATTCATTATCAGGTACGCTTTTTTGTTATCAGACAGGCTGTCTTTGAAATTGTCCTTGCTTTAACTCTTTTATTGTGTTATGCCTAAGACATTGTATTCCTGAAATATAACTTATGCCACTGATAACATGTAGCATGGTCCTTTTCTTTTACTCCATCTTTGCGGCTTGAAAAAAATCGGTCCGATATCATTTGAGGATCTGAGCGAATACCCCACAGGTAACGAAAGAATATAAAAAAGAGCAAAATGTGAGTTTCGTATTTTGATCGTGTGTGTGGCCTTGCATCTCCACCGTGACAGAGAGGGAAAACTCTGCAGTAATAAAACCTAGAAAGTCAATTACTCAGAGTGCATTTTACAACCGAAGTCTTGCACCATCGCAAAGAAGACATTAAATGGCCTAGAATGAGTGGGAAAAGGTTAAAGTGAAGATTGATGTATTTTTCTTTCTCTTTTTGTTCTCTCTGAAACCAAAACAGAGTTTGTTTTCATCTGATAGGTAAAAAAAAATGATTAAGATGAATTGTTCACAGCTCTAAAATGTTTTTACTCCATTAATTATTTGACTATAATTTTACTTCTTCGAGCTGTGAAGCAAGCAAAGTTTGTACACAATTCAGAATTGAATTAAGAATGCCTTTTACATTTCAATTCAACTCGTGAATTTTAATAGATATAGTCAATAAGATGCAGAATTGCAATTAAGATAAACTGTAAAGTTTAACTTGAAAAGCAAGTTGGTTGCATGCTAGTTGGACAAAGCCAAAGCCTCATTTGATAGTTTTGAAAAAAGTTTAAAAAACATGAATGTTTATAGGACTTATGGAAAAACAGAATGATAGGTCTCTTTACTTCTCATTTTAGGTGGCTTCTCATTAGTATATTGTCTCTCATTAGTATATTCTGCACTGTGCAGTCTGTGCCTGGTCATAGTGTTGTGGGTGGGAAGAGAGAGAATACATGTCAACAAATACATTTTGACCAAATCCAGAACTCCAATAAAAACAATAAAAGACATCATAAATATTAGAAGTCACACATAATATTGTTCTCTCACATTAACAAAAACATTCCACTGTAAGCCTTCCTCAATAAGCCTAACCAGATCTTGTCACAGTATACGTACATGGCACAGCAGACATATGTCATACTCAAAAATAGGATTCTGCCAGTGGAATCACCAGCACTATTTCAAACCTCATTTCCCCCGCAAATGATCCTGCAAGCTGGGCACCGAGGCATGCTTGCTCCAGAGGCAATGATCACGGAGAGACAGAGTATGGCAAAGATTAACTTTTCATAACCCACACCAACATTACCACCCCCGACTCTGTCTGGACCAGAAGCTTGAATAGGCAGTAATCAAACTAATCAGCAAACAAGTACAAGTTATTTTGTATGCAAACAAGCAGAATAATGCATAGTTAAGAGGGAAATTAAAATATAATACTGATAAATTAATATGTGCTTGCAAGTGCCCACAAAAAACAATTTCTACCTAGAAATAATTGCTCTCTTGCACAAAGTGAAAGAGCTGAAAGTGAAAAATAAAAGGCTAGCAACAAACTGACATGATCTAAATGGATGCACTGAACATAAAGAGAGAAAGAGGAGTTTGCATGCTGTTTTTTAGCTGTGGTGCAACAGATGGTCCACAGCTCTCTTTCTAATGCAATTAGAATAAACGTAGTTTTCGGTACTCAGACATACTGATGCACTGCTTATTTTAGAAACTCACCCAATAATGCTGACACTAGGGTGCTTGGATTCCTAAAGAGCTGGAGTCTAAATATTTCAATGCAGCGGAGAAAAGAAAAACACACTTCGTTATTCCTTTCTGAAACGTGCATGCAAATAGAACTTCGCTTAAGTCTGAGGAGGCAAATCTGCAGAGGTAGGCACACTTTTGTGAGAATAAACATATTCAGGATGGTGATCATGCTATGATGTGCTAGACAATACAAGCAAGCAGGAAGAGGGGGATGAAAGGAAAAAAGAGTCCAATGCAGCAGGAACTGCCATGCATGTGGAAACAAGAAAACATGGACAAATAAAGTTGGTATTTAAGCGTGTAAAGTCACCCTTTTCTCCTGTTAAAAGTGCTTTGTTACCCTCCAGATCCCCCTCTGACCTTTCGGCTGCTGGCAGGCTTATGAGCAGCACACCAGCGGGGCGGCCCATCATTTGTCACCCTGATTTCAGCAGCAGGACACATCATCACCGGCACTGCACCAAACTTGCAGAGGAGCGACAACAAAGGAGAAAGACAAAACTACAGTACTATTTCTATAATAAAGCATGTGTTAACTGCACGAGGGTCAGTTGCATCTGTATGAAGGCAGAGGGCAAAAAAGTGCTTACATGCATGTACGTTTTATCGCACCGGCAACACCTGCTCTCGGACAAGTATCCACGAGGAACGAGTAAGGTTACAGACTCCAATATCAAAAAATGTATGGTAATTGAAACCACCAAATGTGTGTGAAAATGCAGTCAATTTGATTCGGCTGCAAAAGGTCATGCTATTCAATTTACACTCAATGCTGAGTACAGTAGCCAGCAAAATACCTGAAAGCAAATGATCTTATCAGAACCTACAACATTGCTCTCACCCCACTGGATAAAAGCTATTTGCTGATTACTAAATAAATGCATTATTTTTTACCTTGACTTCAATCTCCAGTAGGTGAGGGAAGATCTATCAGACCTTGACTTTGTGAGACGATTATTCCCATTATGCTTCAAATTCCCATTATGCTTTTTTTCTTCTCCTTTTTCAGTCTTTTTTGTATATATATATATATATATATATATATAAATATATATATATACACCGTATATGTGTGTGTGTGTGTGTGTGTGTGTGTGTGTGTGTGTTGTAGCTTAGTTTAATGTAATCTAGAATAGCCAATAAAATTCATGTTTCATTTATAAAGGATCCTTGTCTGGTGTCATATAATTTTAAGGTTAAACCCTTTGCCAAAGATTACGTTACCTCTCTAAGAGCTTACAAATTAT